CTCCTCCTGCTGTGTCCATCACTCATAACTTGTGTTCTCATAACCTTGTGTCCCCTCACTGTAACAATGATGCACTCCTCCTGCTGTGTCCTCCTGCTGCTGTGTCCTCCTGCTGCTGTCCTCCTCCTGCTGTGTTCTCCTGCTGTGTCCCTCCTGCTGCTGTGTCCTCCTGCTGCTGTATCCTCCTGCTGCTGTGTCACTCCTGCTGCTGTGTCCTCCTCCTGCTGTGTCCTCCTGCTGCTGCTGTGTCCTCCTGCTGCTGTGTCCTCCTCCTGCTGTGTGTCCTCCTGCTGCTGTGTCACTCCTCCTGCTGTGATTTCTCCTGCCTTGTCCCTCCTGCTGTGTCCTCCTGCTGCCATGTCCTCCTGCTGTGTGTCCTCCTGCTGCTGTGTCCCTCCTGCTTGCTGTGTCCTCCTGCTGCTGTGTCCTCCTGCTGCTGTGTCCTCCTCCTGCTGTGTTCTGCTGCTGTGTCCCTCCTGCTGCTGTGTCCTCCTGCTGCTGTGTCCTGCTGCTGTGTGTCCTCCTGCTGCTGTGTCCTCCTGCTGCTGTGTGTCCTCCTCCTGCTGTGTCCTCCTGCTGCTGTGTCCCTCCTGCTGTGTCCTCCTGCTGCTGTGTCCCCTCCTGCTGCTGTGTCCTCCTGCTGCTGTGTCCTCCTGCTGTATGTCCTGCTGCTGTGTCCTCCTCCTGCTGTGTTCTGCTGCTGTGTCCCTCCCTGCTGTATCCTCCCCTCCTGCTGTGTCCTCCTGCTGCTGTGTCCCCTCCTGCTGCTGTGTCCTCCTGCTGCTGTGTCCCCTCCTGCTGCTGTGTCCTCCCTGCTGCTGTGTCCCTCCTGCTGTGTCCTCCTGCTGCTGTGTCCCCTCCTGCTGCTGTGTCCTCCTGCTGCTGCTGTGTCCCCTCCTGCTGCTGTGTCCCCTCCTGCTGCTGTGTCCCCTCCTGCTGCTGTGTGTCCTCCTGCTGCTGTGTCCCCTCCTGCTGTGTCCTCCTGCTGCTGTGTCCCCTCCTGCTGCTGTGTCCCCCTCCTGCTGTGTCCTCCTGCTGCTGTGTCCCCTCCTGCTGCTGTGTCCCTCCTGCTGTGTCCTCCTCCTGCTGTGTCCTCCTGCTGCTGTGTCCCCTCCTGCTCTGTGTCCCCCCTCCTGCTGCTGTGTCCCCTCCTGCTGCTGTGTCCTCTGCTGCTGTGTCCCCTCCTGCTGTGTCCTCCTGCTGCTGTGTCCCTCCTGCTGCTGTCCCCTCCTGCTGTGTCCTCCTCCTGCTGTGTCCTCCTGCCAGCAATTGTCCCTCCTGCTGCTGTGTGTCTCCTCCTGCCAACATTGTCCCTCTGCTGTGTCCACTCATCTGCTGTGTCCTCCTCTTGCTGTGTCCCCTCATAACAGCAGTGATATATAACAACAATGATATGCTGCTGTGTCCTCCTCCTGCTGTGTTCTCCTGCTTGCTTATTGTCCCCTCCTGCTGCTGTGTCCTCCTGCTGCTGTGTTCTGCTGCTTTCTTATCCTCCTGCTGCTGTGTCACTCCTGCTGCTGTGTCCCCTCCTGCTGCTGTGTCCTGCTGCTGTGTCCTCCTCCTGCTGTGTTCTCCTGCTGCTGTGTCCCTCCTGCTGCTGTGTGTCTCCTCCTGCTGCTGTGTCCTGCTGCTGTATCATCCCTGCTGCTGTGTCCTCCTGCTGCTGTGTCCTCCTGCTGCTGTGTCCTGCTGCTGTGTCCTCCTGCTGCTGTGTCCTCCCTCCTGCTGTGTGTTCTCCACTGCTTAACATGCTCCCTCCTGCTGCTGTGTCTCCTCACTGCTGCTGTGTCCACTGCTGCTGTATCCTCCTGCTGCTGTGTCCTCCTGCTGCTGTGTCCTCCTGCTGCTGTCTCCTCCTGCTGCTGTGTCCTGCTGTATCCTCCTGCTGCTGTGTCCTCACCAGCAACAGCTGTCCTCCCTGCTGCTGTATCCTCCTGCTGCTGTGTCCTCCTGCTGTCCTCCTGCTGCTGTGTCTCCTCCCACTGCTGCTGTGTCCTGCTCACTGTATCCTCCTGCTGCTGTGTCCTCCTGCTGCTGTATCCTCCTGCTGCTGTGTCCTCCTGCTGCTGTGTCCTCCTGCTGCTGTCTCCCTCCTGCTGCTGTCTCTCCTGCTGCTGTCTCCTCCTGCTGCTGTGTCCCCTCCTGCTGCTGTGTCCCCTCCTGCTGCTGTGTCCCTCCTGCTGCAGTGTCCCTCCTGCTGTGTCCTCCTCCTGCTGTGTCCCTCCTGCTGTGTCCTCCTCCTGCTGTGTCCTCCTGCTGCTGTGTGTTCTCCTGCTGCTGTGTCCTCCTGCTGCTGTGTGTACTGTATGTCTCATATCTCCTCCTCCTGCTGTGTCCCTCCTGCTGCTGTGTCCCTCCTGCTGCTGTGTGTCCCTCCTGCTGCCAATGTCCCCTCCTGCTGTGTGTCCTCCTGCTGCTGTGTTCTCCTGCTGCTGTGTCCCTCCTGCTGTGTCCTCCTGCTGCTGTGTTCTCCCTGCTGCTGTGTCCTCCTGCTGCTGTGTGTACTGTATGTGTCCTCCTCACTGCTGCTGTGTCCCTCCTGCTGTGTCCTCCTGCTGCTGTGTTCCTCCTGCTGTGTGTCCTCCTGCTGCTGTGTGTGCTGTATGTCCTCCTGCTGCTGTGTTCTCCTCCTGCTGCTGTGTCCTGCTGCTGTGTTCTCCTCCTGCTGTTGTGTCCTGCTGCTGTTGTGTCCTCCTCCTGCTGCTGTGTCCCCTCCTGCTGTGTCCCCCTGCTGCTGTGTCCTGCTGCTGCTATGTCCTCCTCCTGCTGCTGTGTCCCTCCTGCTGTGTCCTCCTGCTGCTGTGTGTGCTGTATGTCCTCCTGCTGCTGTGTCCTCCTGCTGCTATGTCCCTCCTGCTGTGTCCTCCTGCTGTGTCCTCCTGCTGCTGCTATGTCCCTCCTGCTGCTATGTCCTCCTCCTGCTGCTGTGTGTGTGGAGGTGGTGGTGATAGTGGTTGGTGGTGTCAAGGCCAGGGTGTGATGGCTTAACCTGACACCCTAGTGACGCTGGCGGTGTGTGATGGACTAGATCAGGTGGGGCACTACTTACCTGACAGCTTGTAAGATTCTCCCTTCGTCAGTACCTGTAGGAGGGGTGTTGTGGGAGGGGTGTTGTGGGAGGGGTGTTTCTAGGAGGGTGTTATGAAGGGGGTATTGTGGTAGTGAAGATGAAAGTTTCAATAGATTTTTCTTCCCTCACTTCACAATTTACACTCTTGAAGTTCATCTCGTATCACAAACAGACGCCAGTGCGAACTGAAGGCTGTCGAACGCTCGTGTAACATAATACCCATTCTCGGCTATCACTGCGGCGCGGGATAGAGGTGCACGCCAGGCGATGGTGAATGCTCGTTCAGGCGCTGGATGGATGAGCTGTCAACACCTCTATGATGACCGCTGAAGAAAAATCACAAATGGTGGGTATTTATTTATTTTACTCTGAAATGTGTTTTATTTTGTTTTATTTTCATCGTGTTTTATGTTTTATCGGGGACCTCGTCGTGGTGGTTTATAGACTATGGTTGTTAGTAGCGAATTGCAATGCCTCTCCCAGCGCTGACGGATGCCCTTCTTCGTCTTAAATTATGGAATTACCTTCTAGTAGGCGGAGGGTGAGGGGAACGGAGTCGTAGTAGTTAGGGGGCCATATTAAGGAGGATTGGTCTAACAGTCAGTCAGAGCAGCACGTTTACCCTCCTCCTCCTCCTCCAACCATCCCCCACACCTCGCACTTTTTACACTTGCTTACTTTTTTGCACTAAAGAGCTAGTTTCTTTGGCCTGGAGGCCAAAAACTTACTCAGAAAAAAGACCCCACAAGACTTAAAAGGAACACACACTTACACACACACACACACACAGGTGGATTAAATATACCTGAGTCCAATTGTCTCCCGTCACGGGTAAAAACAGAGAGAGAGGTAGGCGTAAAGCAGACTTAGTAATTATAATGCTTTTCTTGGTATCAGGTTAATTACTGTAGTTAATTACGTGTTATGATGGGAGATAATTAGATAGTGTATGAGGGGTAATTATATAAGGCTAAATTTTAATACGTATAGAGAATAATTGAATAGGTAGATAATATAATATACAATAATAATAATAATTTCTAGAAGCAGGTCTTAAAGTTTTCATTTACCGAAAATAAATGATAAAATAACTATAGTCTTAATAGATAACAATGAACAAGATCGATAGTATATTTATCTTAATAATAATTGTCTCCGTTTACATAACACGTAAATATATGATATAATACCTTAAGGTTACATTGAAAAAATAATTCTTAAATGTTTCTCTACAAAAATCAAGTAAAATGAAGTTAATGAATATTGGATTTGTTATTATGAAGAATAATTTTTTATGTATTATGTCAAGGATGAAATAAGATAATTGTATAAGCAAGTCATTCATCCCGCTCAGATTTCCGCCCGCCCGTCCAACTTATCAAAATTAATCAAGGAGAATATTTCAAAAATAAAAAATAAGTATATCATTTTTCCTAAACATGAAAGGGTTGTAATATACTAATCAAAGAGATTAGATGTTAATTAATGTCTTAATGTACTGATAAAAAGAGGAGAAAGAGAGTTGCTCCCTCCACCTCCGCATTGCCATTGACGACTGGGAGGCCTGGCGGGAAAGCGACCTCCGCCCTTCCCTGTTAATGAGGTGGATACGGGCCTAAATACTCTCTATTTTTGCCTAATTTTCAACATTCAATTCTCTATTTGTTTCTGAACTATACTTGGCGTGAAGTCCAAGTCAACAAATTCCTTCTTTTGGCTGAGAGAAAATATTAGGGAAAATAAGACTGCATAGAGGCAACAGCGGTGGTGAGGTGCCATGTCCTGGACGCTGATTGGCTACTCATATGTGGGAGGAGCCTCGAAAAGCGCGCGCATTGCTTCCCGCCGTTCTATAAATCCCTTGGTCATAACTGCCGTCATTATTATTTCCTAATTACACTCGTCCTGGCAGTTTGCAAGTTGGTGGCAAGTTGGGTAAGAGGCAATGGAGTGTTGAATACGGCTACTGTACCACGACACCAAGAGACTAAAGTGACTTACTGAAGATAGTGCGTCCGAGATACTACGACTGTGTATAGAAAGTAAACACTACCAGCTCCCAAAGAACCTGGAGAATCGCTGTCAGAAACACTACAATTATGACCACACTCCAGGACCACAGAGCAAGAGTGAGAGCTTCAAGAACGTCAGCACTGTGTGTCACCGTAAACTGGACCTTCTGAGCGCTGAAATTATTGTGTTGACTCGCTTAAGAACTCGATAGCGACGGAGAGACGAAGAGGAAGCAAGTAAGTGTTGTCTCAAGTGCTGGAGGCTTTTATGGGGGTCACCTGAGTACTGACTGTGAGAACAATAGACGTCAAGTATCACACCAACCAGAGTGACAACAACGGGAAGAAAAACAACAGTGTGACAACAACGGGAAGGAAAACAACAGTGTGACAACAACGGGAAGAAAGTGTAAACGGCCTTCTTCGGGTATAGATATTAACTAGGACAAGTACCGCTTCTACGGCCAGGACAAGTACCGCTTCTACCACCAGTACCCAGACGTCTTCAGTACCAGTAAAAAAAAAAACATATCTACGAGTATCCACTGCCGGTGGTTGACTTATTGTTGCATATATATAATTTAGTCACGTTTGTCGACTAACTATCGCCAGAAATACCAGTGATAAAGTGATAAGAGAAGCTGTACTCTCACACTATCAGCGATTAAGACCATACGGTGATAACTACTACTACTACTGGTGCTACTACTACTACTACCGATACTACTACTACTATTACTGCGTCGTTGATACCATCCATCTTATACGGTCATTACTACCACAATTACCAGCGCTACTAACCCTACCACTACCTGCAACCATATCACCACCTCTACCACAATCTTCAACGTTACCGACGCCCATCCCATCACAACCACTACTACCACTACTTCCACCACCACTGCTACCACTATTACTACCCCAACCGAATCTACTACCACCACTACTCCCACCACCAGTAGTCCTCAACCCACGACGACCACAACTACTACCACCAGCAACAGTCCTCAGCCCACAACTACTACCACAACTACCACCCCTACCACCACCATATTCGGCGTGAGCAGTAGCATGGCGGGCGGGTACCTCGGCGGAGCAGGGGGGTTGGGGGCGGGCCTCCCTCCCCTCCCTACCGAGATCCTCATGGACGAGTATATGTTCGGACGACGACGACAGGTGAGCTAAGCTAATTAACGTCATAATTATACAGGTGAGAAAAATCTACAGGTGTTTATAGGTAAGTCTCATGGTGGTATTTAATATTAGAGAAACATAATAAAACACAAGTAAAAATTAATGAAGGTTGGTGATACAGGTAAGACTAATTAGTTTTATTATACAGGTGGTAATTACACACACAGGTAAGGTTTGCTCGACGTTAATTACCATAGAGATAAGATTCATTAATGTAATTATTTACAGGTAAGGGTAATGAAAGTGTTATGTGTACAGGTGAAAAATTAATTAAGGTGGACACTCAAATGATCATGTCTCTCTCTCTCTCTCTCTCTCTCTCTCTATCTACATGTCTGTCTGTCTGTCTGTCTCTCTCCTTCACTAATATTGTATTATTGTGCCTATTCGTCCAGTACCAATCCGCTGAGTACGATGACTTAATCCCTTGAGTACACTGACAATCCTCGATTACAATGTCTTAACCTATTAAGTATAATTATATTGTACTCAGGGGTTAAGTATTCGTACTCAGGAGATTAAATTAACATATACAAGGCGTTAAACCATCGTACTCAAGGAGCTAAGAAATCGTACTCAAGGGGTTTAGAAATCGTACTCAAGGGGTTTAGAAATCGTAATCAGGGGTTAAACCATCGCACTCAGTGGGTAAAACCATCGTACTCAAGGGGTTAAACCATCGTACTCAGTGGGTAAAACCATCGTACTCAGTGGGTTAAACCATTGTACTCAAGGAGTTAAACCACTATATTTTAGGGTTGTAAGCGATCAATTCGGGGGTATCAAATGTCTCAATTCCGTTTTACGAACCTGTGTGTGTTCAGAAGACCCATACAGTGTGTCTATATACGATTGAAAGGTCCACACACACACTATTAACGTCTCCTATACACAGGCAACACACTATTAACGTCTCCTATACACAGGCAACACACTATTAACGTCTCCTATACACAGACAACACACTATTAACGTCTCCTATACACAGGCAACACACTATTAACGTCTTCTATTACACAGACACACTATTAACGTCTCCTATACACAGACAACACACTATTAACGTCTCCTATACACAATTAACGTCTCCTATACACAGGCAACACACTATTAACGTCTCCTATACACAGACAACACACTATTAACGTCTCCTATACACAATTAACGTCTCCTATACACAGGCAACACACTATTAACGTCTCCTATACACAGACAACACACTATTAACGTCTATAAACAGACAACACACTATTAACGTCTCCTATACACATACAACACACTATTAACGTCTCCTATAAACAGACAACACACTATTAACGTCTCCTATACACATACAACACACTATTAACGTCTCCTATACACAGACAACACACTATTAACGTCTCCTATACACAGACAACACACTATTAACGTCTCCTATACACAGACAACACACTATTAACGTCTCCTATACACAGACAACACACTATTAACGTCTCCTATACACAGGCAACACACTATTAACGTCTCCTATACACAGACAACACACTATTAACGTCTCCTATACACAGACAACACACTATTAACGTCTCATATACACAGACAACACACTATTAACGTCTCCTATACACAGACTCCCCCCACCCCTTCTTCTCCCTCCACCCCCCACCCCACCCCACCCCCCAGAATCTAGACTAATCTGAACTTTTGAACTGTCTTTCTGATAATATGTTCAACTCATCGGCCGGTCATGCTCAATGTCGAACCCGTGGACTATAAGTTTTAATTTGAGGAGCTCTCCACAACACCACGGTGGCTATGTATAACTAATAGCTAATACTTGACTAAAATATCGAACCAAGACACTGGGGTTTTGTTAACGAAGAGCTTACCCACTTTACCACAGCGACCCCCATGTGTACTCGAAGCTATAATAATTCTTTTAATTGTAACTAACTCTCTAAAAACATCGAACCAAGGTACTGAAGTTGTCTAGAACGAGACCAATTACCACAACACCACAGCAATGACTCTGTATACTAACTTCCTCTAAAAACATCGAACCAGGGTACTTAAGTGTCTAAAATGAAACCAATAACCACAATACCACGATTATTCCATCTCTCAAGTATCTGTTTGTCTCTTGGTCAGCGTCGGAACAGGACGACCTTCACGGCCCAGCAGCTGAGTGAGTTGGAGGCGCTGTTTCAGAGGACACACTACCCAGACGTGTTCCTGAGGGAGGAGGTCGCCTGCAGGATCAACCTATCTGAGGCTCGAGTACAGGTGAGTTTTATACTAATTAGATCACCTGAAGAACAGCCTCCCTAGTTAAATATCTTAATGTTAACCTAATCTAACCTAACCTAACGCTAACCTAACCTAACCAAACCAAACCAAACCTGAAGCAATAGACTGATACATTATTCTGTCCATAAAAGCTTCGGATCCATGAGACTGAATCCCTAGGTTCGTGGTTCAGTGGGAGGCGAACGAGCTTTAGTAGTTATCTCTATATAATCATCACTTTACTTCACATACATTTATCATCATTATGTCCTAATTCCTCGTTTATAGTATCGTAGAGCAGTTAATCGGTGTTGGCCAATTCCTTATATTTATCGGGTTTCTCCATCTCTCTTCTCTCCCCTCCCTCCCTCCTTCCCCAATCCCTTCCTCTCCCTCCTTCTCACTCCATTCCAAAGCCACACCATGTTCCCCCTCCTCCCCTTCCCCTCTCACCCTCCTCCCTCTCACCCCATTCCCCACCTCCAATAATCTCGTATTTTAGGAAAGCTCAAGGAAATTTTAATAATCTGGTAAAACTTGTCTTGCTTTCTCTCTCTCTCTCTCTCTCTCTCTCTATTCAATCTAATTTAGCGGAGTCTCTCAGTCTGCCTCGCTCTTTTCACGCTGGTAGAGGTGAGGAGGGGGCGAGGTGAGGGGGTGAGGAATGAGGTGTAGGTGGGGGGCAGGAGGGGGAGGAGGAGGAGGCGAGGTGAGGAGGTGAGGAATGAGGTGTAGGTGAGGTGTAGGTGGGGGTGCAGGAGGGGGAGGAGGAGGTGAGGAGGAGAAGTGGGGGAAGATTGACATAAATATAGACGACTAAACTATACGTGTTAATAAGTAAAGGAAGATTGATGAATATATTTAATTAGAATAAAACAATAGACGAAATAATAACAATAGACGAAATAAATAAACTAATATAAAAAATAAACATTACTAAAGTGAATTAATTAATATAAATAAATAAATTAATATGTAAATAATAAAAGGTAAATAAATAATAAGAATAATATACTAAATTTACTAAGAACGGAAAATAAATCAATAAATTCGGTTAATAAATAAAATAAAAATATAGATAAATGAAAATAAATTGATGATTACAGTAAATAAATTAATACATCGGGAATATTTTATTTATTTTATTTATTGTTATTTTATCATTTGGATCCCTTATAAATTTCTATTAACAACTGAACCATTATAAGAGGTCCCTTAAGACTGCCTACAACATCAACGAACCATTAATTTACCCTCTTAAACCATTAATAAAATCTCTACTATTATTTAAAAATACCTTGACCCTATTAACAACATCTGCATCCCTATTAGAAATCCCATTACATCACTATTAACACCTGTCAACATTATTTAAAAGCTTCTTACACCATTATCGACACCTGTACAGATGTTTAATGACTTCTTTATGGTGCCAATAACACATGTGATTCCATTAACCCATTAAAACCCCCCATTAATAGGATTTATACCTTGATTTAAAACTCCATTATACCATTATCAACATCCGAAACACCATTTAACCCTTTGAAGATGATGGTTTAACCCTTAGAAAACGATGATCATTTAACCCTTTAACTATTATGGTTTAAACACCTCATGAGGCTGCTAACATCTGCGGCTCCATTCTCTAACCCCATTATGTCACTGTATCAACCCCATTAGCGCCATTAACCCCCCGCCCCCCTTTTATCATCTCCCTCTAGGTGTGGTTCCAAAACAGGCGCGCAAAATGGCGTAAACAGACAAGAATGCAGTTTGTCCAGGATGCTTGGCGGCTTCGTTACCTCGGCCTCTCCCCGCCGGCGTGGCTTACCCGTTCCCCGCCGCCGCCACCAGGTCCCGCCAGTCCCACGGCGGGGAGGGGTCAAGGGGCGCCTCTCCCTTCCCCACCCCTCGCTCTGCCGCCTAGCTCCGCCTCCGAAGCCCCAGTGGGCGGAGACAGAACGGTAAACTCCGCCCCTCGCTCCGCCTCCCCCGCCACTACCCCCCCTACTGATCTGACGACTGCCGATCGCTTGGCCGCTGCAACAAGGTGAGATACTCAACTGTCTCTCTCTGTCTGTCTGTCTCCTGTCTATGGCTGTCTATGTATGATATGTCACTATTAGCTGTCCATGTAGCATTCTGTTGTCAATATTCCCGTTCTTTTAGCTTTCTTTAGATAGCTGTTTCTTTCATAAGCTTTCTTTCTTGTGGAATCTGTCTCTTTGCTGTCTATCTTTCTTTCTATCTGTCCTTTTCGTCATTTTCTGTCTATTTTTCTATCTAGCTGTCTATGTCATCATTATTTATCCATATTTATTTTCCGTCAGTATCTATTTATTTAATTTTCCGTCTATTACATAACTGTTTATCTGTCTGTGTGTATATTCCACCACTATCTGTCTATCTGTCTACCTCTTCTAACTGACAGTATCCTAACACAACATTTCCTGTCTCCATAATTCCCGTCTCTCTAAATATCACATTCTGTCCAAAATAATTACTAGAACAATTAATCTCCCGTCTACATATAGCCCCTATAGCCTTCTGTCTAATAATTATCACACACTCCCTGTCTATGAAAATAACTATGTTCCCAGATTACCGTCTATTCATTTAACTGTCTCTGTCTCTAGGTTCCTGTCTATATATATTTAACTATCTATGTATATCTCTGTACTGTAGATTCCTGTCAATATCTGTCAATACCAATTAATACCTTGTACTCCCTGTCAACTTTGATAACCGTCTATTACTATAACCACTGTCTATTATCATACCAATCTGTCTCATATGCTCCCTGTTAATATATGAGTCTGTCTATTCCTATACCTGACTGTCATTTTATATACATATTTACACCTGTAGCCCACTGTCTGCCTACATTACTGTCTACCTATATAAATATCAATGTATATGACGGTCTTTATAACTATCAATTTATATAACTTTCTACATAACTGTCAATATAACTAATTGTTAATATAACTAACTGTTTATATAACTTTCTACATAACTAACTGTCTATATAACTGTGTATAGATAAGTCAAACTCTTCTTGTAACTATTTGTCTGTATGTCACTGTTTAACTGTTTAAACCATTAACTAACTGTTCAGAACACTTAACTCCTAACCACCTACACCCACCACTAACCAGTTACCAATTCTTCCCTCACAGTCTGGGGGCGGCGGCGGCAGCTTCCCTCAGATGGCGTGGAGAGGAACACCACGTCGGGTGTTTGGGCCCGGGCTTGTGTCCCTGCCTCACTCACGCTCCTCTACACGACCACCCCTTCCTGCCTCGCCTCGCCCTCCCCATGCACCTTCACCATGCCCAGGTATGTGTGAGTGTGTGTGTGAGTGTGTGTGTTTTGTGTGAGTGAGTGTTGTTAATACTGTATAGGTAGCGTGGCCGAGTGGTCTAAGGCGCTGGATTTAGGCTCCAGTCTCTCAGGAGGCGTGGGTTCGAATCCCACCGCTGCCAAGTGTAGTTTTATGCCGGGTAGGGTGAAATATGGGCATATTTCTATACGTCTTTTGCCTCTGTATACTTAGTAGTAATTATATGCCAGGATAATAATCAATTGGTGGATGGTCTTAAGGTGTGGTTAATGTTGACGACAGCTTCTACACCTTAACCCCTTCGTTACTGGATGCCACTATTAATATTCTTAATTGGCTAACGACACAGAGACACCCTCATACCCAAGGAGTTAAACTAATTCTTGCTATGGTGAACCTTGGACCGGTCAGCCTCGAACTAGAGAGGCATTCATTATTATTATTGTTATCACTGCAAGTGTGTGTGTGCGCGCGTGTGTTCTGACTCTACCCTACAAACATCATCATTTAATGTAATATTTCGCTACATGAATTATGAAAAAAACAAAAAATAAAACATAATAAATAAATTAACATCCAACAATTACTTTGACAAATAGTTTCCATGGTTGTTTTTTCTTCACCGTATTTACCAGTACAAGTCTGCGTTCCCGATCCAGGGTGGGAGTCGTCCGTCGTCGCCTGAGAAACGACCCACCCCGAGGGACGTTCCGGAGCCCCAACGACGTGACGATAGGGACGACAACGACGAGGAGCTCACGGTGACCCCTGAAAGTGACGATGACCTAACCCCGACTGACCTCTCCTCCACCATGAGCTCGGTTAACAAGTAGGATCGCGTCTTGCCTGCATTCCACCTTCAAGTTCTGGTGCCTCAGTGTATAAGGGAGGGCACAATTTGACCTCTGGTGCCGTGAGATATTGACCTGTGCCAATATGATCTGCTGCACTAACACATCCACGTGAACTAGTTTAACCTCAACTGAACAAACACCTCCACATAAATCAGTTTGACCCCCAATTGCTCTGATAAATACACCCTATCCACCAAAGGCACTGAGGAAAAATGATTGATTGACCCAACACCTCTGAATGGCACCAAGCAACAAGTTCAGTGATTCACATGACTCACCAAGCAACTCCCCATTAGCGATTTACCCATCCATGATTCACCAAGCAATTCCCCAAAAGACAAAAAGCACCAGCAAGCAAACAAGATCACCAATTCCCTCTAAAGAGCTATCAATCCCCAAACAATTTCCTTCACCATACAAACTTCCCAGAAAACATCGAACACCAAGATTAAATATTTTACTGTCCATAAATTCACCAGGTTACTCCATTAAAAAACAAAAGACACACCAAGTACCTAGTCTTCCTTGTAACACTCCTATTAACCACCACTTACCTGGTAACTCACCAGGAGACACCCCCCCCCCACCCCAAACGAAAAATAAATAAAATGAAGCACCAAGAAAAACCGAGAGAGCTATGTAATGTTGCCTTGTATTAGAACGTGACGTCACCAAAACAAAAACACCATATCGAAAATTAATTCAAACTTTCAGCTAAACCAAAGGCTAATAATAATAATAATAATAATAATAATAATAATAATAATAATAATAATAATAGTTTACTCTTGTATATCAACCGATGGGACCTTGACAAAACATATTGAGTTTATTGTAAATATTAGAATCACTTAGGAATTAGCTAGTATATTCTTGAAGCTTTAAATGTTCTGATCTTATCTGTAGATTAACTTGTCCGGCAGTGGTAATAGATAATAACATACAGAACATCTACAGATATTTAATTACATATACAGGTACAATCACAGGTGATGGGCATACAACTACAGATATACAAGTTCAGTCACCAACACAAATACAGCCATACATAAATAAAAACAGACACAACTACAGCTTCCCTTAATACATTCAGATACAAATACAACAACAGCTTCACCCACCCATTCACCCACCCACGGACAAGTTGAATCTCACTGTTGCTTAAATAGAATGGAGAACTTCCTTATCCCCCCCTAAAAAAAATAAATAATAATTGTACTAGATTAAAAGACAAATTTACTAGACGTTATAGATAGATGACCATTTGTGTTTACATTTAGAAATCCCGAGAATAGTAGACCCTGAACTATTTTCTTGTAATAAGGAATAGATAGGGGTTATATACTAGATGTCTTTGTTATTGTTTTCATTTTAAGACTTTCTCTTGCCTACAAACACTTAAACGGTGTCACAATGTATGAAATATATGAATAAATAAAAATGTCAACAGGATTTCTTGATCTTTTTTTTTTCTTCTATTTTTTCATCGATATTGTGTTGCTGTTTAATGAAATGAGTGTGAATGGATAGATAGATAGATAGATTGCAAATTGAAACATTTATATAGTACAGTATTGGACAAGAAAAACTAAATGCCTACTTAAGCTCATCCACTGAAAAACAATAAAGATGGTGGATGAACTAAACAAACTATAGTACGGATGCATAAACTAGCGGATGACAGAGAAGAATAGTGAAGATAATAGATAAGATGCCAGACTATATAATAAAATAGCTGACAAAATATTATATAATACTACAAGTACATTAAATATCTATGAACAAGGAAACAACCATAGACACTCACAATAATTAGTCTATAACACACAGGGGATTAAAACATTATTAGAAAAGTGAAAGTATTTAATATTGTTTACCTGAGACAAGGATGTGAGTTCATTTAGTATAGCTGTAGTATAGGGGTCAGGTAGGGGTCAGGAAGGGCCATGCTTAACCTACATAAATCACCGATACATTAGTGTTTAAATTATCCCAGGTCCTGTACACATATTTTCTAAATTAATAGTTTTTTTTAGATATACAGTATTTATAATTGTTATTTTGTATATTAGTGAGAGTTTTCTGCTTGTGATGTACTGTAGTGACAATATAGTATAATACATTAATACTGTATTATCTTCATGGTGTGTTTTAATGTATTATGCTTATATTATTGGCAATACAGTACAGTACATCACGTAGTACCATCATTTAACACAATACAATAATCTAATTTACTAATATAAACATGATTGGTTTTTTTATAGTGAGAGCAAAATGACATACAACACAGTTCTGCTAACTTTTCTTCTACGTGTTACAAACTCTTAAAATTGATTATGGAAGTATCAGAATGTACAGTAGTGTAGGTCGCCGGGGGCATCACCCTGCAGACACCCGCACCACATTTAACAAAAAGTACTTAATTTAATTTCTGATACCAATGATAGCAATTTTCATGAAGCGTTGTGGTGTAATTTTATGTTTTCTTTGTGGACGTGAGAGTATCGCTCAGACCGAGTGCCTCTGTTGTAAGGAAACAGGGAGCTGACGACAACACGCGCCAAGACAGAAGATTTTTGGAGGAATATTTATGGTAAATAATTATTTTTTTGAGTACAGTGCACATAGACATCATTTTAGTGTCATATGATCAAATTTTCACCATGTTTTACCCCGCAATTTCCCTCATCTTCCATACCCTAACACTATAAGTGATTTATTATTGGAGATACCGATAAACTAAAAAATAAAAAAAAATAAAAATAAACAATATACAGGTAATTAAAATAAAATGTTGTCATGTTGTTTTGATTACTTACTATCATCCAAAGAACATGTGGGAAAAATTAACGAA